AGGTAAGACCCTGTCACCGCACCCCCGCACCGCCGCCCCCCGGCGTCTCGCAGCCCCTTAGGCACTGAGCCGCTCCCGGAGCCTTGAGAGGGACCGACAGGAGGGAGGTGAAGTGGCTTCGGGGGACCGCGCGGGGACCCAACGGGGCTCCAGGGAGCTGGCCCTGGTAGCGGGCTGTGGCCAGCAGCAATTCTTCTGTCACTCCCGTAACTTTCTGCCTTCATCTAAACCGTTCCTCTTCACAGCATCCATAGCGTGGCAATTAGTGTAGACTGGTCATGGGAAATATACATTAGTGTAGATCATCTGCTTGATTATATGCTGCCTTGTTTTGGATTTAATGAATACCATGTATTTCCAAACTATAATAGAAATTATAATTTCTGCAATTGATAAGAGTAGCTGCCATAATCCAAATCAGTGTAAATATACATGCACTTTAGTCGCCTTTCGGTGACAGAAATACAATTTTACAATTCTGGGGAAAAAACTGCTAGCAACCGAACTGAAATAATGGCAGAAAATGCTGAATCAGATGCGAATCACACAATAGGAAGATTAATGTAAGTGCATTCATACTCCAAGAGCAATTGCTTTAGAAACCCGAAAAAAAAAAAAAAAAAGAGGACCATATATTAAAATGCATTGCCTGCTCCTTTGGAAAATGACACAGCTAAGTGTGTGTCATTTATGCCCAAGTTTATGACAAAAATAGGTATGGGGGCGACAGGTGTATATGCACAGACGTGAAGCAGAATAGGCTTCAAAATCCAATCTTAACTAACTTGCAAATAATTTTAATTCTTAGCTCTACAAAATTTAAAGAGTAAATTTATATATAGCTTCTTTTTGCAGCTTTAGTATTCAGGAAGACTCAGAATTCCTAACTCTCACTTCAGATGAAAGTTTCCAATTAGTACTCCCCTGCAGAGGAAAAATATAACACATATAATACACACATTTTATCACAGTTTAAACATAACCATTCTGTATATTATAGAGAGATGGTGATCTTAGTGACAAGGCTTCATATTTATTATTTTCTCCCCATATAGCTGAAGCTTTTTAAGCAAATTCTTGACTAGTATTTTCAGTGAGACAGGTTCAAATTCAACTGTAGAATCTGAATGAAAGCCCACTAAAGTGGGATTCAATCAGTGGAAGTTAAAATAGACTCATTTAAAAAACCCAGAAACAAAACTGTATGTGTAACTGACACAATGGTTTATTTGCTTGAAAATGTGAAATTATATTTAAATATGAGAATCTTGTGTGAAGGGACCACATCAGTTTTAGCTAATGTGGACAATTATGTCATAAGAAATGATGGTTCATTTTTAATCTTGTTTTGAAAATGTTTGCCTTCAGGGGAAAATGTGTACCTGTAGAATGTAGCTATTCCTGTAGAATGTGAATATATTAATAGAAACTATAGTTCTTATCAATAAGAAGTGAATCAAGAGGACATTAAACTGTGCGAATTTCCTTCCGATTTGAATAATATTGTGTAACCAGACTTCTTACACATTGCTCTCTGAGAGTGTGCTCCTTTTATGCTTCTACTCCTCTTCTGTCTCTTTCACTCATAAATTATCTGGACGTGCTCTTTTCTCCTCCTCCAAGCCTTGCTTTATTCGTCACTCGAGGAATGTTGACCAGCCTCCTAAATAATGTCCTTCAGACTTCTTTTCTCAATGAAAATGTTTAATGCCTACCATCTTCCACCAGCCTCCATGGTGTGAAAGCTGTATTCCATCCTCCACAGAATGTGAAAACAAGGTGCTAACCAGACGCCAGTGCTTTCATTGTCCTGAGCTGATACGACCCCCCACAAACCACAATGCTGCCACACCTGTGCCACTCACCCATTCACAGGAGCTGCTGCTATCATTAGTAGAAATTCAGCTGAGGAGGTCTTGCTGCTAGCAGAACTTTGGCTAATGGTTAAGCAATTAAGGGATTAGGTAACACTGATAACCAGTAGTGCTGAAAGGGCTGAAAGGCATTAGGTTGGAGAGAAGTTGCTAGTGACTTGCTGTACTACTGATCTACAAACCAGTCTTATTTAATATTTTCAATAACAACTTCCATGCAAAAAGGAAGAATGAGTGAATGTAATGTGCTGGTAATGCAAAGGAGAACATGAGCGTCACTACAGAGGAAGGTCAGCGTAACAGACAGAAGACATTTTTGACAACCTAAATAACAGAAATGTGAAGTAATGCAGCAGTACGAGTTGCAATAGCTTATGAAATGATAGAAGTTCCTGTTCAAAGCTTCTTCTAACAGAAGCACAGATGTCAGAAATGTCTGAGTAGATAAAGGACTTGGTCATATTATCTGGCTTCAGTCTTTTTATGAGATACTAAGATTTTTTAGCCATGAAAGAGAAACAAAAGTGTGTAGGAGAGCCACTTTCTGTAGTTAATGGAAGGTGTTAAGGTAGTTGAGTACTGAGGATTCTGATCTGAACTGTATTTTGTTGTGCTGTGTTGAGCACAGAGGAGGGTCACTCTGATGAGTTGGGGAATACAAGGCTATTACAAGAGAGGAGAGTAGATGAGAGTCTATTATCTCTGGGCACAGCCTTTCAGTGAAGTATTTGTGGGATTTCCAGGGGTATTGTTTATGTCCAAAAGGCACAGTGACCTTGCATTTTTCTGATAATCACTATGTAAGCACAACCTAAAGATCTAAGCTGGGAAGCGCTGTGATTGCTGTCAAAAAATACATGAAATAGGTAAATAGTAGAAATAGAAAGAGGTAATTAATAGTGAAAGAAGTTATATACAACCCATAAATAAATTTGTAGTTAGAAATAAATTAGACTTGAAATTAGAAGGTGAATAACCACTGACAGTTCCCCAAAGAAGAAACACAGTAGGGGTGGTAGTGGTGAGATCTTGTTATTAAGACCGAACATGATAATTTTTAAGAGCATTACAATGGTTGGCTTCCTGTACTAGCAAAAATCTATCACAGATTAGCACATATTTGTATAAAAGGTCCTCTACAGTCCCATGTTCTGTGAAATGTAGTGACACAACATGATGATGATCCCTGAAACGAAGACACAGGCAGAACCTATGTGTAGGTTCTGTGGTAGGGTGTTACATGTCAACAGCATTGATCTTTTTAATGAAAGTGAGATATGACTTATATGAATATGGAATAGGTTTTGGTTTAGTTTGTTTTAAGTAAAAGTAAGTGTATTCTTTGGCTTTGGACTGTTGGTATTGCAGGAAAGCTAAGAGCCACGTGGAACTCTGTTTTTCCAGAAGACTTAACTGATTTATGTATAGATCTCATCTTTGAGCACCAGATCTTCCTTCTGATTTTCTACAGCACAGATCAGAAAAGTTTTCTCTTTTTACAGCTATTTTTACACTGTTCACCAAATCACAGGTCTTGCAAGTTCGCTGAGCTATCAAAGCTCAATTAAATTAGTAAATAAAATCCTAAGACTTTCAGTCAAAATGCTTTCTTTTGGTATATGCATTGTCAAGAGCTTGTGTCCCTAACTCTGGGCAAGCCCAATTCCCTCATATCAGTAAAAACATTCTCAATTTAACCAAGAATAATCAAGTCTAAATCTTGTCAAGTTCTCATAATTCCCATTAACCTAAATACTTAGCTGCTACTTAAATAAATATTATTTGAAAATAAATTTCCAAAATCTCCTTCCAAAGTAAGCAGACATGAGAAATAGTGATTATGAAAATCATGCTGAGTTTGAATGAAGAATATTGCAACAGTTTTTTTTTTTACTGAAAGGGCTGCAGATTAGGGGGTCTGTCTACCAGTGAACTGAGATTAATGAACTATTTCATTCGCTTCAATAAGCTTAATCATGCTTCAAAAAGCTAGTGAGTATCCATTTTAAAATAATGTTGCTGTTACCCAAAGACTCCTCACAGTCCCTCTAGATGACTTTGCTGTGTTTTTAAGTAAGTTTGTTTGTTTAGTTGGCTGTTTTTGAGATGTATTGATATATCTAAATTCTGTATGCTGAACCCAAATGTCCATGATTTATGATGAAATAATAAACATATGTTTCTGCTTTATTCCCAGATTCAGAAGAGGAAATGAAAGCGTTAGAAGCAGATTTATTGACCAATATGTACACATCAAAGGTAATTATCTTTCCTCTTTTAGCTGACGGGTAGGGAGCAAATGAATTCTCATTACAAACCCAGAAGACTTTGCACAAAGTAATAACCTATGGTCTAGACCAAAAAGTTCAGTGCTAGACACTGCTTTGGTGCAAGATTTTCTCCAGTTCAAAGGAAATGTAGAGGTGTTGATATGACACACTAAAAGTGCTCCTCACTCGTAACACTGGTACTTTCATTAAACTGTCAAAACTGTGTTATGTGCAGGGATGTAAATTTATATGAGGAAATGTGTTTCCCATAGGAATATGTCTGATGAAAGCTAAATTAACCTTGAGTCAAATCTGTAAGTGTGATTTTTATGCAGAACTTTTCCTATTGCATATAAAATTAAGACAGTCGTAAAGCAAAAACTGTTAATACGTGTGCTGATTTGGGTTTAGGAATTTAATCACCATGTCAGTACAGGACCATGGGGACATGACTGTGAAAATATTAATCTGATAAATGACATTTCCTTGACAAGTTGCCAGACCGTGAGTGATGTACATGCTTTTTAATACAAATAGACAAAAGTTCAGTTACAATCTCATTTGGCATAGGTGAAGCAGCAAGTGTTCCATATGTGTATTGAAGAGGTTGATAAACAAACACTTTCTCAAAGCTCTTATTTTCCATGAATTATCTAAGAAATATATACATATCTAATATTTCTTCAACAACATATTAAAGAACAAACCTTGAAACAAATGGCATGGGCTTAAGGCTGAATGCTTTATTTTTTTGTTCTAATGAAGTTCGGGTGTTGCTGAAATTTGTTGAAAGCTAAAATGAGAAATTTAAAAAAATACCCCAAAAAGAATTTCAGAAGTCAATGACTAGTTGAAGGTTAAGGACAAAACCTGCCTGGAAGACTTCAATATTTACTGTATTTGCTTGTATGTGAGCTTTTTCACAGGATGCTTTGAATAGACTAGAATAAGTGAGGCCAGAAAACACACTGTTTTGATCTGGTCTGGCAGTTCTTAGGTTCCCATGTTCTACTGGTATGGTAATTAACCTTAGATGTTAAGTAAACCTTCTCTAACATAGAGAAAGATTTAATAGGTATTCTTTTATAGAGACAAATTTAAATGTAGGAGGTTGACAAAAATAGTTCTTTCTCTGTGTGGAAAAGCATAATATTCCCTGGGAGGAAACCCTGCAGCTATTGCTATTTTTGCTACTGACTTTAATGGAACTGTGAACCTAACTTCCACTTCCAACTTTTCCTCCCTCTTGGCACAGAGCACAATCTCAGGTAGATAAAAATGGACAAATACGGTGCACTAGTTGATAATATAGTGATGACTGCCATAATACTCTTACATGTTTTTTTTACATCATGTAGCTTGCTATACAATTTCCTTATGGTATATACCACAAATCAAATGACAGCTGAAGCTGACAGAAGCCGTAGGTGCCTGGTGGAGACATTATTTTAATTCTACATTATGCCACCTTAAGTCACCATCTAAAATTCATTAGTTAAATATATATATTGTCTCTTGACATCAAAGTAAAGCAATGGTGGAACCATTAAAAATTGTGTATAAATGCTTCTACGAGAGGCATAGCACTATTGCATTTGTTACTGAAAGGACAAATTATTTTTGCTTTTTTTCTGTTGTCCTCTGCTAGCTTTTAGCCCTCATTAGAACAAAAGTATGGTTCTGGTGTGAGGGACAAATTTGAGGACGGTATGTGCAATAACTGTCTTGCATTGTGCCTGAGATCTGGTTCCAGCTGAGGGCAATTACTGTTAAATTGCATTAACCGTCTTTGACACTGACTTGGTAACAGGCAGCAAGGGAAATCCAGCCAATTTAAACAGCATTAAGATGGGGGAAAAAGAAAAGAAAAAAAGGCAAAAAGAAAAGAATTGTTTATGAAAGATCAAATCTAAAAATGCAGCAGAGTGGATTATCACTTGTGGTTCTAATATTTGACAGAAAAAATCTCAAGTAGGCACTTGTGAATTATAGTATCAAGACTACAGGTAGAGTTTAAGCACACAGCTTTTGCAGCATTCAGTAGTCTATCCAATATTATGGAAAAGAGTTACCATATGCTTTTGACTTCAGACTGCTGTCCAGTGTCTAGTGGCGCTTTTCAAACTGCTCTTCAAAGTAATCTATATGCTGAATCACTTACCATCTATAAAGAAGTATATCTATGCTTATTACGACCTGTCTTCAACATTTTATCACCCTTCCCTGCTGTTACATCTCAAAGAAGATACAGGGATCAAACAAGTCCCTAAAATGCTTTATCTGTCTTTTCTCTAACATAAAATCCAAACAGCCATTTGGAAGATCTGGTAAGACAACACAACCTGAAGTGTCACAAATATGCAGTTATCTCCTGTCACTCTTTTATATCAAATAGATAGCTCTATTCACAGCTTCCCAAATATTTGCCTGAAACCACCACTTGCATGAAGAAAGTCCTGAACTCAAACAAGACTGAGGTGATGTTAGTTAAAGAAAAAAAAGTGTTTTATTGAAGAATATATCATTACTAGAATATACTCCACCTTTGGGATCCCCACTCACATTTTTCTGAAATCTTGGACTCTCTGAGCTTCTTATTGTTCTAGGATGCTATAGCTGACTGTATTTGCCCAGACAGTTTAGGCTCCTTGTTTGAGGCAGACAAGGTCGCAGCTGCCTAGGAGTCACTGACTTCCTGGCTCAGTCATCAATCATATAAAAATTCATTACATCTACAGGCATTAGTATACACCATGGAAGAACTTCTGCTGTAACAGAACTCGATACCACATGTGCCGAAAAACAGAGAGAATCTTTATTATTTCTATGGTTACATTCTGAAGAAAATTCAACTACTATTCCAAAAAGGAACCATAGAGATCCTACATTACCTTGGGTTTTACTTGGTCATGAATTTACTTTTCATCTGCTTTCATTAGATAGAGACAAGATTATAAAAAGCAGAGAACTGTTCTTTTTCTAAAAAAAATCACATTTGTTTGGTACACACTATAACATAAGTATCTTAGCAAGCTATCAGGGGTATCATTCAACCCTAAATGGAGAGAAAAAGGTATCATAATATGAGTTATAACTTGGGATTCTCTTTAATCTTCCATAGGACAAGCCTGTTGTCAATGAAGGAAATATTCTCTAGCTCATTTCAGTTTCTTAGATTATTTAAAATTCTCTTTCAAGATAAAGTAGGGAAGCCATAGACCTGAGTCTTATTTCAGAAGCATGTTCAACAATGGAAATGCATACATCATATTCACTTCAGCATTAATAACTTTTAAATTCTAATTTATACTGAAGTCTCTTTTGTTCCTTTAGATCACTCACAGGTTATTTTTCAAGTTAATCTTAAAAAAATTACTTCCATCTTGGAAGATACGGGTTCCTTGATCTCTTATGGAGGTGTTTTCCAAAACACTTCTTGAGCAACTATAGCTGGTACTGCTTAGACCTGTGTGGAAAATACATCACACATTGGAAATGTATGTGAATATTTGGGTTATGGTCATCTTAAGCTGTATTTTTGCATATTACTTTAGGATGACCACCTCAGAGATTTCCCATAACCTATAAAATAAAGCTGTCTGATTTCTACTCTACCACGCTATTACAGCAGGCCATACAAAGTAACATGACTGCTCTGTTCCATGACTGGACATGACTCAGAGAGCTCTGTGTTCAGTTAAAAAAAAAAATTCACTCTTGACTGAAGTTCTTAATGCTTCATAGTCTCATTCTGCAAGCTGGTGGCAGTGTAAGTCAGCAGCAGGTGTACCAAGTAAAAATACTTTGAGGTGATATATGTGTGATATTAATGGGAATGAGACTCCCTTAGCAAATGAATTATGCTTGCAGACAGCACTGCAAAATTTTTTTCCCCTAACATAGTAAGTAGCAGCTAAGACCAATTTCCCATAATGAAGTCTGCTATTTAGGTGTTTTACTAATATACAGAGGAAAGTTCCTTTAAACATAGGTGTGCATCAGGCTAATATAAAGTAGTAACTGTATATTAAAAAGATTCTATAAATTATGCAAGAAGGCATAACAAATTTCCCTATCCTTTTCTCTTCTGTTCCCATCCACTGGAATGTTTTTGGGTTATTTTAACTCAGAACTACCTCTTGCTTATGTAGCACTTCCCCTAGATTTTATTCTTCACTGCAATTTAGCTATTGTAGTGCTAGCTCACATTTCTTTCATATACTCAGGAGAGAGAAGTGCACTAGAAAAGCCTCCTCATTTGTCATGGAAAGCTCCATATTTTTATATTTCGGAAATATTTTAAAACAGGCCAAAGAAGATTTTGAAATTGCAGTGAACATTTGGTCTTTTTGCTAGTTTAACTTCTGTTAATTAAATTAGGCATTCTGCAAAGAGGTTAATTTTTGTTTTGAACTTGTCACATCTTCTCAAATAATTCCAGACTAATCAGGGCACCTGGATGGGACAACAGATGAGCTCAAAGTGAACAGTGCAGAACCAATTTCTAGCTTCTGTATAAGATTTGATATTTGTTTTCTTCTTAAACTCAAACCAAAAATAATATATTTTTTTCTCTGAGCCCTGTCAGGAATCTGAGAACACACAGTGGTTTTACTAAGGGGCTAAATTTTCAAAGGCGTGCATATATCAGATGTATATTGGAGTAATGGTTATGGCCAAAAAGGGAATTTTTTTGTAACTAATGTTAATAGTGATGTTAGTTTTTGTTTCCTCCTTGCTCCTCTCAATTTTCTTTCTTTTCCCTCAAAAAATAGTAAAGTCTGGTGAATAGGCGTAAATCTTGCATGCAATGCCTCTTTGTTAGGAAGGTGCTTTAAAGAAACTAAAGATTATGTGATTACTTAATGTTTGGATAAGTAAGCACTGCATCCACACTCTTAATTAATGCTGTCAGTATGTAAAAGACAATGTCTATGTTAATGTAATACCTATATTTAACTTTGTACATCCAGGAAAAGAAGCAGCTACATTTCAGTTCATAGGTAAAGTGTAATCCTAATGTGCACAGCAAGGAAGCCCTTGCTAGTAATAAATAGAAATTTGCTGTTTGGCTTTTGATTGGAGATTGCCATGTCACCAGTTCTAGTTTAAGGAAACTAATTTCCATATTCACCACTAAAAGGAATATAATTTGAAAGAAATAATTACTATTGAGAGAACCAAGAAAGTGGCAAAGACATGAAAAACAGTGAATGAGGTAGGAATTAGGTTTTTCACTTACTTTTTTACTATTGATAATAAAAATGAAAGAAGACTACTGTAACAAATGCTTGGAAAGAACAGTACCAGTAGAAAGGTAAAAAAGATTTTTCTCAACTTTTTTTTTAAAAAACATTTAAAAGTTAAATAGCTCCTGAATAATGCAAGATATTGAAGTAAGCAAACTTTGAGACAAACCATGGTGAAATTTCTCTGTTTCTGTCTTTCTGTAACATGAGTTTTTCAGTCCAACCACCACATTGGGAATACACTGTGCAGTTCTGTTTGATCTTTGCTCCATCTTCATCTAAGCTGATAGATCTTTGATTCACATCTCCCAGGATCGTGACTCTCCAGCATCCAAAAGCCCTGGGACTTCCAGATTCTGTAACTTCAGACCCAGCCTCATCAGACAGCTTGCCCTGAAGCAGGGACTCCATTACTTTTCTCAGGGAATTTTGAAATGACTTGTATTTGTTCTGAACTGGGGAGGAGCGTCTAGTTAACCACAGGCATCCACCTTGGATTCCAGTACTGGGAATTTATCCAGTGGGTTTGACTCATTGTCCTGATTTACACCTGTGAATTTATATTATATAATTTCCATCTGTGTTTTTGTTTGCACCTGTGCAGCATGACTGTGAAATGCTACCATTCTGGTTTGGTCGGAGTTTGCTTTTTCATTGTGTATATCTACCTGGGGGTTAAGGCAGTGGGGAAGCAGACTTGGTGTGTTTAATAAATGAGTTGTCCTAATTTCAGCAGTCTCTAATTATTGTCTAAAAGTTGGGCTTCAAACACACAAGCTTGCTCCTACCAAGATGTTTGAATGTCACACATTGTTACTAAAAAACAAACCAAAAATGGTAACATGTTAAATAGTGGGCATTTGTATTTTCAGATTAACAGAGCAAAACTTCCTTACTGGAAAATGACCCTGCTAAATGTCTGCAATCTTGTCAACAACTTAAACAACGAAGTGGGAGAAACAGTAGAGGTAGATGAAGAGGATCTCATTTCAGGAAGACAGTTTCCTGCTGCTCTGGATGGCTTCAGCTTGGAAGCGATGCTGACAGTATATCAAATCCAAAAAGTTTGCCAAAGCAGAGCCTTTCAGCATTGGGAGGTAAAACAAACTGTCACAAATGCATGTTTCAACTGCTATTAAACTCTCAGGCTCTGTTTGTAGTGATGGTTTAAAATCCATATCCAGGTGGCCCCCATCACACTATCTGAGCTTTCCTTCCCTTTTTAATATTCTCTAATATTTAATACCTCTAATATGACTCTTACTGAAAGAGTTATGAACTAATGTAGTTTTTGAAGAGCTGAGTGTTTCTTATAACGACCCGTGGATAAATGAGAACTATTCTTAACTGCATACTTTCTCCACACTTTGTAGCCATTCCAAGGAACCAAACAAACACATGAAAGTGAGCTCTATGGCAGTACACAAAATTAATATCTGCTTAACAGACGTGAAGTTACTGCAGATTTATTGAGGCAAAGCTATATGTAGGCAGAGTTTCTGAAAACCCTTTTGAGTCCCTAAGGCAAACTGGATTCAAAATGCATGGACATGTGGCCGTGTGCATTAATTTTTCCAGGTACTGTGAACTTTTCATCATTGCTAGGAAACTGGTAGCAAGGAAACTTCTGCTTTTCACTTCCCTACAAAAAAGAGAGCCCTGGAAGTTGACACTGTGATTTTATGAGGATTGCTGCTCTTAAATAGTTATTGTTTTATAGTCCATTTGTGATATTTATCTTAGTGCAATGGTCACACAGAGCACACAGTGCACACTGGGCACAATCCACTCATGTTGCTATACATTACACTAAAAGTTGCTTTGCACAGGGAAAAAATGATATGTCAGTGACACTACCCACTTTTCAGTAAACCAGATTTCTTCAGCTATTGCAGGTTGATGGATGGACAGTCTGGCTGAATCTTGATCCTCTATTGTTTGGCGAATCACAGCTCTGTAATTGCAGGCTTATTTTCAATCCTTCATGTTAGGTGGGATGGTTCATACAAAAGCCTGCCATGTCTTTGAGAACCAAAGTTTCTTGAGGACTTTCTTCATCAGTACATTTATCGCTGAAAAGAAATTACCATAGAACTTACTATACACAGTAGCCTGTATGATTTAATCATAGTTCCTTACTTTGCAGTTGCATCACTCCTAACAGTACTGCCTGTGAAACTGAAAAAAAAATATTCCTCTCTCAGCTTAGGAACACACTTATGCAGTGCTGAGGTTTATACAACACAATAAAAGAAGAAGGGATAGAGCCAGAGGGAGAAGGGTTGAAGGCTTGAAATAAACAATTTATGTAATGAAAGAAGTTCTTATGATCTTATTCATCCAGGATTGACTCCAAAGTCTGCTGAAACCATCAGACTCTTTCCATTCATTTCAATAGAATTTAGATGAGCACTCATCTATTAAGTAATTAAATGAGTAGCAAGAGTTTGATTGCTTAGGGAAATAGTGAGGTAAGTATAAAAATGTTTTCAGTTTAATGCCTTTCAGCCAGACAGTAGAACCATACTTGAATATGGAAGAATGTGGTAAGAGAATTGATGAAATCTTAACAGATAAAGCAAGAACAAATCTGAACAAAACACTTCAAAAACTGCAAGTAAAACTCAAAACACAGTTATATAAGATATTTTGGTTGACAAAATTTTTGGCTTTCTTGTGCTTTATTTCATTTCTTATTTGTTTATTATGCATTTTGATTTTTTATCTGTAGGAAGTTGCAGATAAAAATACTTCTCCAAAGCTGAAACTAGCAAGCAGTGGGTGTTTTAGGAGGTGTTTAGCCTAAATGAGTGATTACAGGGTGTCAATCATTAGGAAGTTTTCAGTCAAATTTGAGTTTTAGTCCAAGCAGGACATACCAGCTTTTCTCTCCAGTCAAAACCAATGATCTCATTTGTTTCAGTGGAATTTAAGTATCACCTCCATAGGATTCAGTTCATCTTTAGCCTGATCTTATTTTTATGTCTTGAGTTTTGGGCTTTTTTTTTTCCCCCTTCCTTTAAAAAAAAATCCACAACTGTTATGGTAAAGATTTTTCTTGGTGATAGATGTTAAGATGAAGTTTTATAAAACTTTATAGGAATTGATAATCTTCATTACCAAAAAAAACCTGATAACATTCTATCTCTTCTTGCATCCTACAGTTACTTCAGCAAGAAGCTTTTGATCTAGAGAACTCAAGCCAAGACAAGGAAATAATGAAAAGAAAAAACCCCTATATTCTGAAACGGCAGCTACATGTGAACAAAGCTAGAAGACCATACATACTCAAGAGAAGTTCATATTACTGATGCAGCAGAAGAAAACAATGTATATTTAGTTTATAGGTAACTGTGTGTTATGGTTATCTTATTTAAATATAAAATCATACTTGTGTGAAAACATGCTATGGAAAATCATCAAGGTGATAACATAACTGTGTCTTTTTTGCAATTGCTGTTTCTTGATTGTGGTTTTTTCCTACTTGAGATTAATTGGACCAATACATTTGCAAATAAATCTAGTTTCTAAGCATGACGCATTGTACAAAAACTGAGATTTCAACATATTTCCAACAATATTGTAATCTTTTCATATTTTACAAAGCACACCAACATACACCACATAAATTGATATTGTCCATAAACCCTACTGAGAATCTTTCAATTTCTTAATACAACATCTTGAACACATATATGCTTGCAAATTTTTGTATAGTACACTAGTCAGATCTACCACAACATTTTATATACTGGCCAGTTTCATTTGTTAGGGATCAGGTCTAAGGAAGGAAGGAAATACCATCAGCTGACTATTAAATGGCAATTTCAAAATTTATATTTTAAATAGCCTGCTTTTAAGTGTATTTTAAGTTCTTGACTCCTAACGTGCCACTGAAGAGTCATAACTGAAGAAAACAGGGCATAAATGAGACTTTAACAAAGTATGCTAGTGACAACAAAGCCAGATGTGCTTCAGAATCTTGTGTATCACTGACTAAAGAAGGAAAACAGTTTATTAAATCAGTAAAAGAATTTACAGTGTTTACCTAATCTATGAATGCTCAGGAAAAAAATGTAGACAAAAAATAAAAGCTGATTCATGGTTCTGTGCTGTCACTTAAAATCAAAATCCTAATCTAGTTATATGAGAAACTTGGGAAAAATATTTAAAATAATTAAAATTGGAAGATCTTAAACTTATTGTAGAAAGGCTTTTCCTTTCCCTTGCTCTACAAATGTGTAATAACAACAGGCAGTTTCAGGGGTTAAAAACAATCTTGGAAGCCCACAGAGAGGGAAGCTCCCAGTATGGAAAAAAAAAGTTTTCAGGCCATGAGGAATCAAGTGCCACCTGAAACTTACACATTTTCCAGCTCTGTGTCTGTGATGTGTACATGAGGCTTGTTATCTCAGTGATCCTGGGTTCCAGTCTGGAGGAAAACAGTCTGAAAAAACTGGGGGACACAGCAACAATCAAACTAGAGGGATAGTCCAAGACCCATTAAGTCTGGATGCTCAGAACAGGAGGCAAGAAACGGGACAGACATGGCTTTTGAAAACGTATCTGTTTTCTCTTTGAGATATTTCCTCAAAGCAATGCCATTCCAACAAATTGCCAGAAAAAAAAAAAAACCAAAAAAACCACCACAACACAAACACTCAGAGAATTTCCAAATCCTTGCACAGGTCAAATTTTCTGTCAGTTATTACTAGATATGTACAGGGATTTGCATAGAAAAAACATACCCGTACAAATGGTTATACCAAATTTGTTACTTGGGGAGGAATGGGATTTTTATAGTAAAATGTATTTTCACTATATTAAAGCTAATTATATTTCCTTTATCACTGTAAATGTTATTAATCAGTTTATTTATTCAATAGCCACTGTGTGCACTCACAAGATATAACTGAGCATACACTAATTACTGTAATAATTGTTATGATCTGAATATGGCAAAGCACTTAAGCACATTTGATCTCAGTGTTTTAAATGCTAAATGCACTAAAGGGCTTTAGTTAAATAAGGTTCTAGTAGACTCATACCCTTTAGTTTTTCAAGAAATTGTCAATTAGGCTGGAGACACAGAATGCGCTCAAGTGGCTAAGAAGCATTCCTCTTTCCAACAAACCTACAAACTCCCTTGTCTTATTGTGGGCACTTCCAGTTCTGAATTACCCGTTGATCTGAAAAGACAAAGCAGAACAGTTTTGTTTTTTTTTTTTCCAAAATTCACTGATAGCAATATATGAGGAGGAAAAAAAAAGATACTTAAGATCATTACTCCATGGTGAACACAGAAATGTAAGAGAAAAACAAATAGGTTACCATGATTTTTTTTGTGTGTGTTCAGTTTAAGAGTATAAGAGCTTAAAAATAAAGTTGGATAAGGTGTTGTGGTTGTTATCTGATAAAGAATGTTAAAATTTTCAAAACCAAAAGCAGTCATCCGTGTCTCATTTTGGAGGTGATTTAGGTATTCAGGGTGATGGCAGAGGATCTCAAATGGTGATGATTAATTGTTCCACCCTTATCTAGTGCTCGTCATTCAGGTGGGACTTACCCTGTCACTGTACAAGTTCCTTGCAGTGCAGAGTTATCAGATGAGCCAGACTGATTGTCTGAAAATGGCTTAAAATAACCCATTTCCTTTCAGCACACTGTGAATCCACACATAGTCAGCTACTGTGTGTCGCTGGAGGAGGCTTGTTCAGTTGTTCCCTAGCCTCTGATGGAAGTGTTCAGGGAGCTGTCAGAGGAATGTCATCCAGAGCGAGAGGCAGTACTACCTAGATGAGAAAACAATATCCTTAGTTGTAATATGGTCAGTAAAGATGCAAAAGCAAATGCTGGCATTTCAGCTTATTGGTCCTTGCTGAAAAGCAAGAACTACAGCATTAAAATGTTAGAAAACACACTAAAATCATATGTTTAAGCCATATACAGAGAGCTGTAAAGGGATATTTTGATGTTTGGGAGACACTTATTTTTTAAAAATCTTCTCTCACTTCTAGCTGTCGCTATCTCCTGATAATCTCACTGCTATGGAATCACAGCTTTCTTTAGCCCTCCTTTTTGGATGATGGCAGCAAAAAAAAATAGGCAAGTTTGTGTATGTTTGTCTCTATTTCGCACATTGTTTCAGTGGGAACCTCAAGTTACCTGCCTTGGCCGTAGCTGTGTATTGCTTGCAAAATTGATGCTCTATTTGCAGCAGCAATTGGCGCTGAATGACATCCAAGCCAGAGGAGGCACTCACAATATGTAAAGATATGTAAATTCAGACAGCTTTTTTTTTTTTTTTAATTTTCTTTTCTTTTTTCTGCAGCTCATGATTGCCTTAAGTTTAAAAATGTTGTTTTGAAGACCATTAACTCAGATTGCTACCTTGGCTTAAGGAAACTGCCTTCCGATACAGACAATTTTGTTTTATGAAGGCAATTACTGAGAGATTTGCTGTCTCTCTGTTTCTTCAGAGAGGAGCACATTTTTCCTACATATATTCCATTGCTGATGATCTTACTAGTTTCATAACTGAATAATTTTGCCAATTATTCAGAAACTTTATACTTAATTATTTCTCATACTCCTAAAATATTAGATATTGTCATACAGAGCAATTGCAGATAACTCTCAGTTATTTCTAATGTAGAATTAAACATAACTGAGATTTAATTTGATTTTGTGTATTTTTAATAGTTATCATCCATAATCTAATAAATGCCCTACAAAAGAAAAATAAAACATGGAGAAATGAATAATTTTAACATCTCTGTAGCATATATTTGCTAGTTTTTCTTTAAAATAAACATTAAAAAATAATAGTTTCTGTTCCCAAGTTTAAAAGTGGTGATGAAATAAGTCTTCAGCTTTCTTGAGTCTTGCTTGTGGTATTTTATAAAGTCTGCTGTTTTCTGTCTTTTCTATTACCAGTCCAAACTTTGTTCTGTGTTTTAGGTAAGAGTTTAATGGCTGTGGTATGAACAGAGTGCATGAAATGTGGAGTTTGCAGATTAAAAGAGATTTAATTTTGCAGTGTATGATTGTGGCTATGCCTCGTACCCTACTTTTAACTAACACACAATGGAGGCACCGGTAGTTTGGTCTCAATCTTTATTCTTTTTCCCCAAGATTAGCTATCAGTTTGCACTATGTGGTATCAAAGTGAAAATGAAAGCCAGCCCTATAATACTTGAGTGTTGGAGGGCAGAAAGAGGAGCAGGTTCTTCTGAAATTCCTCCAGGTTCCAGACTGATCTTTGATGTACTCCACATCCAAAATATTGGACTGACTGAAGGCAGTCACAAAACACAAGTTCAGAGAAATAAAGTACACTGACTTCTGTGACATAGCAATAGAGTCAGAACTTGTACCTTGCTGTCCAGAAAGTGGAGGGAAGGGTTGATCTTCACAAGGAACCTGGGGAATGAGATCTTCATTGCTACCAGATTCAAGCATTCAAAAGTTTTGAGTGAGGATGCAAAAACCTGCAAATAAATAAACAGAGAGAGAGAGATAGGTGACTGATAGATAGACAGATAAATAAATAAATAGCCCTGACATCTAAATAAAGTAATAAATAGACATAAAATTATTTTTATTTTCCTCCATTTACTAGACTGCCAGGGAGCATGTGAATCACATTTTTAAGCTTTGTCAACAAGAGGAGATAAAACATATTTATTTGGTTTTGTTCGTTGCTACTGAAAATTTACATTCGCATCCAATCTCTTGAATCCAGCAGGTGACATATTAAGACATACACAAAAGCACACAATGTTGATGATCAGATTTTCCAAATCTGTCAGATCTGAGATACTTGCATGGGTCTGACAGACCCAATAATCAGACAGTAGACTAGAAAGAGATTTGTATTAGCTCATTAGCAGGTAAGCTTTGGCTGGCTGAATGATTCTTCTGAGGTGGAAATATGGGGAAATGGCATTGGATCTACCCAGGAACTTTTGGAAGGGTGTCACCTATTATGAAACATAAAGCCTTCAGGAGTTAATTGCCCAACTAAGACTTGCTTTTACCAAATAGATGAGAATGTACAGCTGCTTTCTCAGGAGGCTCTTCACATCCCCTCATACAGAAGGAAAAAATGGGACTGTACATAACTGGACTTGAACTACCAAGAAATAGCTTTTGTCTGTTTGAGCTCCAAGTGGATCAAGTACCAGTTTGTTTTGTCTTAAAAGTTACAGTGTAGATTTTCTATTTTACCCTTGAAGTTCAGTTGCAGGAATCTTTAGCAGGATGTGTTTCTCTTATGTGTACATAAGGGGCTTCTCAGATAGTCTACACATTGCTTTCACAAATGACTGCCAGCAGCCTGAGGACCTCTGTCCAGATGTAGTGTCTAAGCTGCTTAACGAAGCGTTAACAGCATGCGAAGGAAAAAAGTGCTGGGTTTGTACATCAGTGAATCTGATCTTGAGGATAAACCAAAAACATCCTGAAAGACAATCTCTACATTATTGCAGCTTTTTTTGCCTCATTATTTAAAAAAACAAGTGGCATAACTGATTTTT